ATCTGTAGCAAGGAACACGGGGGTCAACAATCACCGGCTTATGGTTATTTGCATTCAAATGGCAAGCATGTGATAAGGAGCCAAGGTTAGCATATTTTGAACAGACAAGGGACCCTAGTTTAATGGGTCGGAAAATACTATCACAAACACTAATCTGGCCTAAGTGAATTAAGATCGAAGTTAGAACTAAGCATAACTAAACCTTACCCGAGAGTGGAAACGAGAAGTTCGCGTTCCACCTCCCACGAGTTTCAACGAGCTAATGACTAAGGCTACCTACGCTTACTTATTGGCTACGTATCTGCTGACGTGGCGCAGCGGACCAATGAAGATTGGCCGCTGTTGCCATGCCTGATGAATTTCCTCTACAGTCTCGCTCATTTATCCAAATACACCCTAGTCAGGCACCGCAAATGCCGCTGACACCACACATCCTGCTTCCATCCAAGCGCCCTGCGCACTGGTCGGGAGGAGCTTATCAGCTTAATGTGCTTATACACGGGGCTATTGGTTGCGTATATAGGTTGCGTCTACTACAATTTTGCAGGTGTTCTTCCCATTGGGTTCGAGGGTGTTCGAGGTGTTCTTCCCATTGGTTGTGTTTGTGTGTGTTCATTTCATGGTCTATGTCTCAGTTGAGTTGTTGGATTGACGGATCATGTCTGTTTTGTTTTCTGATGTTTCGTTATGGTATTATGTCTGTGATGGCTTGGGGTAGAGGTGTCTGTTTTGGTTTTGTTTTTCCTTTGGGTATGTGATGTTTGCCTGCTCGTAGGATGCGTCCAGTGAGTATCTTATTGGCAATGTGAATGTTGGTGGGTGCTGGAGTGCTTGGTCTATTTCCTGTGAATAAGCTATCCAGTCTGCTTTGTGGTAAGTTGTGAAAGCTCTGTTATAGGTTTGATCCTATACACGAGTATTGTGCTTTCGGTACACTGCGCCCGCGGCAGTGCGACGTTGAGAGTTGTCGAGTAGGGGTGTACGCGGTGGAGGCATGCGAGAGCACGACAGCAGTGCGCGCTACAGTGGGCGAGAGAGAGAGCGACGCAAGTGTGCTCGGTATGACGGCCGAGCCACTACTGAGCGCAATAGACTGCTTCAAAACAACTCGAGGTGCTCTGTCTGTAATGAACCAGCTAGTTGCCTCTGAACACGTCAAGCATCACAAATTTTAGTAGCCTCGCCTAGTAGACGCAACTAATAGCCCCGTGTATAAGCACCTTAAGGTTGAAGTTTGCATGTAAGTTGGGCGACAGATGCCGTAATATTTCTAATTTGAGAGATTAGCATTTGAGATACAAGGTTGATAACAGTTTGTATTTTCGTTGCAATGACAAATCTCAGCATCTTTACCCTTTATTGATCTCAACTCACTTTTGGGGTTATTTATTCCATTACTTAGCCGTGTAAACAAATGTGTAAACATTTCCTTAAATACTGATATGATTGATGCATTTATACGGAAGTCGAACTTAACTCGTCACGTGCAAGTGGTCCTGGCGAGTAAATCCTTGCTTGAACAAAGACGAGTAATCAGACGGGGTGTTACATACTTGCTGTATTAGGTGCGTTGCGCCACATTCACGTTCATTATACATGCTTTAAAGCTGAATGCGTTCGTCTGAAGAAGTTAAGTACTGAACCCAACTTTTTGTTTAAAGTTAATGGGTAAACTATTGGAAAATTGTCGGAGCGAGATTCCATATGTTAACAGGTAGAAGCTAGGCATCAAGTAAGAGCTTGTATTATTGCAACAAGGAAGGTGTAATGGATCAACAAGTAGCGTGGAACGAATCAACGAGGTAAACTAAATTCTTGTGAGGAACATGTAACTTATCAACAAGAAATGTTCTGACAGTTTCATGCGATGCTTCAGACACCTACTAATATATAGAGATGCAGTATATCAACAAGTAACAATTTAAGTTCCAACATTGAACCTGATAGATTCCAACTAAGATCATGAAGTAGCACTTAGTGATATATAGGGATCCTTTTTGCGACAGGATTTGTGGTCATGATTTACTGCGCCGGTAGATGGCCGAAATGAACAACCCATTTTTTATTCATTTTTCGTATCGGAGAGCGCTATCAGCGCTTTTATTATTCACTTTGTTCTCAACCAAAAAAGATAACACGACACAAGACTAGCCTGAATTGTACAGAAACAAATTTCAGTGTGCGATTGTTACCCGTGCATAATTCTGGCAATTCACAACCGAGCTCAACCTCTAGAAACTACACATCTTTCAATGCGTTTTGCATCTTAATTTTTATTTTAGGCCTTTCATTTACACTATTTACTCTTCATCAACCAGAGTAGGGAGTTTTGCTCAAATCTGGAGGACCTTTTAGCAAAAGTGGCAAGATTTGAATGGCATCACAACCACCTCTTTTGAGCTCTTTGAGAGGGTGCGACAGAAATCCAAATTGAAGCAAAAGTGGCAAGATGAAACAAAGTTCCAACAAAAATTCAGTTGTGCTCAGGTTGGGAGATGTGACCACTTCACATGTTAAATTCTTATGAGTAACCACTGTGCACGGTGGC